AGGAGTTTTCCTCTCCATTGTCGCTACATGCTTGCTTAGTATGAGAGATTGCTGTATAGTCACTGACACTAGTCAGTGGCTCGATGCAATTTGCTGGGTTCCTTATATAGGAAACATTATTTCTGACTGGCTTAATGAACTGACCTGAACTGAAATGTTTATTATGTGAAATGCCTTGAGACGACTATTGTCGTGATTTGGCCCTATATAAATAAACTTGAATTGAATTGAATTGAATTGAATTGAATTGAATCGAATTGAATTGAATTGAATTGAATTGAATTGGTCGAAGAGATACTTCTTTGGGTGACTTCTGTTGGAGTTTTTGTGGAGTTTTGCAGGTTAAACAAATACTAATTGGTTGATCTTGGAAATGATTGTTCCTGTAGCTGGAACTGCTCGAACTGCCGGATGTAAGAAGTGTTTCCTCTTTTAAGGGTTTGTTGTTTATATGTTTTGGACCAACCAGATTTAAGACAGTTTAATAGGCGTCCTCAGACAACCCCTTTCTCAGACACTTATGTCATGTCCAGCAATGGTCAGTTTTTAGGTACTATTTGACCATCCAACATCTGGTCAAAAAGGAGACACAAGACTGAAGCAAAACCCTTTAAATCAGCCTGCCTTCATCCCACCAGCTGGAACTCAGAGCCTGCTAATCTGACAGAGATAACAAAATCATAACAAACATTCTCCCTCACAGAGCACCCTTCTTATCTAAGTCTCTTTGCTTCACAGAAGAAAAGAAGATTTTAAAATTAAAGACAAACTTCCACAAATGAACATTTGTTTATTGCTACTTATAATAATTATAAAATAAGGAAATGTTTCATTAATCTGTGCTCAGTTTTCATTAATCTGTGCTCAATGAAATATGTTGCAGCACGTTTACTTGACGAGGTCATAGCATTTGCACTCACACAAGAACAAAGTAAGGTAAAGTTAAATCCCATGACACATAAATAACCTTTACCCTAGTTCAGAGCCTCCGGTCAAAGAAGGCGTGTGTTCTGAGATTCTTGGTAATATACCTCAAACTTGTCAACCTCTGGTTGGCTACACAATCATAACATGAGATCCTTATAACTGGATCACTCTGGGTGATTCAGCAGTTCTAGAGTAGCTTCAGGCCGGCCACCTGAAGTAAACCCCTCTTTAACCACCAAAGCTTTTGACACATCGTCAAAATCTTTTCGCACCTGCGAAGCTGATAAAGCAAACGGTTCCTGCAGAACAAGCTGAGGTCCACCAGAGATGTGCGGTTCCATCCATCTATCGTTGTGACCCGGAGACATCTCAGGACTGATTTAGTCGCATCGAGGTTTCTCTACGAACCGCGTGCATTGGGGTCGTCGGCTCCTTGACATCTCGGATCCAAACGGGGGTCTCCAGAACAGGTGAGGTAGAACACAGCGAGATTGCGTCTGATGTGTCTTTGATAAGAACTTCACTTTTCACCCAGAACTCAAGTTTTTCTAGATATGAAATCTCATTCACACATAGTCACCATACATCGCATTCCATCCACTTTAGATTCATCCACTCACAGTAAATGTTAGTTAACCAATCTGTCATGTTTTAATTGTTGGTAAAATAAATTCTTACTTTTATAAACCTGACTGTTTTCTGAATCAAAACGAAGTGCGTACAATCCCCTAATAAATAAATAGAATCTTCTGATTAAAGCACAATAAAGACCAGGCAGGGTGATATTCTATATTTGGATAGAGTACCACAGCGTATTGGTCAAAAGTAAAGGTAAACTATATACTGAGCTCTTAAAGCACTCAATTCACCAAACCCTACACTTAGAAAAGCTTATTCCTCTTAATATGTGATGGAAATAGGTTAACCAGTCATTTGTTGATACTGATATTAATATGTGACATAAATGATAATAAATCATTATTAAATCATACTTGTTTGGTGTATTTAAAATCTGAAATAGGCTTTTCAATATGTTGATTCATTCATTACTGTATAGCAATCAAGACATTATTAAATCACTTTAGATCAAATATCCAATGTAGATAAAACAGAACGTGATTGTAAATAACTTGTAAAGTTGGGAAATAATTTATGAGCCCAAATAAGATTCTTTATTAAAGTTATAAAGAGTCACGTCTTGTGAGGAAATTTGGCTTCTGCAGGCAATGAAGCAGGGGAGATTGTTATTACGACATCTCCATGGGTGGGGGGGGTACTTGTCACTCTCAGGATCTTTTAGTTCCACCTGAGCCTGGTGTAAACCCCCCAGCCTACCTGAGTATCGTTGCTGACCATGTCCATGCCTTTATGACCACATGGATCCATCTTCTGGTGGCTACTCCCAGCAGGATCGTGCACCGTGTCACACAGCTCAGATCTTCTCTACCTGGACACCCAACAGCCTCCACAGTCACCAGATCTGCAGAATCTTTGGGATGTGGTGAAACAGGGATTTACGTCATATATGTGCAGCTGATTGATCTGCTGTAACTGTGTGATGCTAAGCCATTATGGATCAGAACCTCTGAGGAATGTCTGCCGAATTCATGACACAAAGACTTAAGGCAGGTCGTAAAGCAAAAGTGTGACTGATGAAATGGCCAGAGTGTGTATTATACTAGGTAGAAGATAAAGATCAACAAGAAAGAAACTTGCATGTGTGTTTGTGGACGTGTGTTATCTGTGTTGTGCGGTCAAAGCACTTGATTTTCTTTCATTTGACTCAGACCGAGTTCATTAATATTGATGATTTTGGGGGAAATCTGAAGCAAGAGGGCACAGAGCTGAAAGATCATCAGAAATTACAAGTAAGGAACTTTACCAGTTGTTCTAATTACTGGGACATAAAACTGTCCCTGTGATTAAGCTATAGTAGCTGCATCATCATATTAACTACATGATTCTGCAAAACAAGGATCATCAAACGTAAAGTAAGGACATAAAATTGTCACAAGAGTCAGATACCTTTTAAAGCTCTCCGCCCTCAGGATTTAAATTCAATTTAAAACGTTAGAAATAACTACAACAATAAATATTTCATTAACTATAAATCAGCAACACTTCTATTTTTCTCTGCCTCCCTCGCAAACACGCTTTGTGTTGTTCCTCTTTAGGAATTCTCCGTGGAGTGAATATGTGTCTGGTAGTGCCAGTCCGTGGTGGGTTGCTCCTGCCAAGGCCTGACAAACAGGGGTGCAGGCTGGCAGGATGACCCCCCATCTCCTTACACGCTACACTTGGTCCAGAGGCAGCTGAGGGTCCGGCCCGCCAACAGATCAACAGTTGCTGTGACTTTGGTTGAGCGACTGGCCGGGCTGCTGCGCCCGAGCCAGGCCACACTCAGTGCACATGACCCTGGATAAACTGACAAATGCCTGGCCTCTGTGTGTGTGTGTGTGTGTGTGTGTGTGTGTGTGTGTGTGTGTGTGTGTGTGTGTGTCTGTGTGCGTGCGTGCGTGTGTGTGTGTGTGTGTGTGTGTGTGTGTGTGTGTATGTGTGCGCGTGCGCGCAGAGTGATGTGACTTTAGGCCATGGTGACCTTCCTAACTAGTCACTGTACCTAAACTTGATTGAAGAACATCTCTCCAACTGCTTGAGTTGTGAAACCTCTTAGAGGACGTCAGCGACCACGCTGAAGTAATTACGTCGTTGGATATGAATCACAGGGTTGTTTTGTGCAGCATAAAAGACGCTTTAAACCTAAACCTGCTCTCTTACTTTTAGAAACATCTACTTTTTCAAACAAGCTCCTCTGATTGCACAAATAAATCTGTTTACTGTTTTCAACACCCAACAACAAACATATGGTGCACTGACTGTCACAGCTCTGCAACGTACAGCGGAGTTGTTTAGCTCGTCTTGACAAGGCTGTTAATTTCTCTGAAACCAGGAATGGATTCCAGCGACCCGCTCTGTCCTCGTCCCGTATTCCCTCCAAAATGTCCAGCTGTTGCCTCGGTAGACAGCTGCTCTGGGGGCAGAACAAATCTCAGCTGTCGAGGGGAGCTGTGTGCGGGGGTTGGTGGATATGGAAGTTTGTATTCTCTCAAACCCAATGACTCTCCGCTCTCCTGCTCTGCATGAACCTGGGTGGAGCTTGGTGAAACGCTGACGTGCAGCAGATTTAGGAAGAGAAAGCAGATGCTGCAACTGCCGTGTGTTTACAACCCAACCGCTCAGAGTACATCTGAACTGGAGGTCAAAGGTGAGAGGGCCCGAAAACATGTATGTCAACTTCAACTTGGTGCAAATGAACCCGGAAAGAAAGGGGAATATAAACATTGTGTTAATGTTTTAGGCCATGCTAAAATTAAAGAGTTTCCTAATTGGTCTGAATGTGACTGATACATTTAAGGTAGAAAAATGATTAAAAATGCTAAATTATCCTCTTTTTGTGCTAAAATAGTGTTTTCTGTCAGTCAAACTTGTATTTTTATAGCCTTTGATAAAACAGAAATTGGAGCAAAGCTTCTCCTTCCTACTGGTTGCCAGGAACAACGTGCTCAAAGATCCGGTTTAAGATTGGTCACTTGCCAAATTACAGTATGTGTTATGTGTCCCTGTCAAACAACAAACAGGCTCCCCCACTGATTGTATGCCTGTATCATCAGGGTTAGAGGGCTGACCTAATAAGTAAGTCTAAAGGTGGTGACAAACAGAGCAGAAAACAAAAACAAAAGGTTGACAAAGTTCATCCAGACCTTTGAAAGCTTCAGAAAGTCTGAACAACGATTGGTGAAGATCACGTCAAAGACTTTTGGACTGGATACCAGGAAGTAAAATCAAATGAAACAAATAAAAACTCAGACTTGTTTTACTGTGTGAAGCTTCTTAAGAAATGAGACTTTATGGTTAAAACTTTAAAGGTCAGCATCATCCAGTTTTGTTTTAGGGTACTGTGACTTGTTTACACATAAGGAGCCTGATGAAGCTGAAACTTGAGCTGACGGCTTGTTGACTTGTGTTTCCTGATGTAACAGTGTTTAGGGACGCTGTAGCATCTATTTCTGAGGAACAGACCTCATGTTTGCTGTGCAGAAACAACACGTAAAGGGATTATTCACTGGACAGACCTACACTTTGTTGACAGAGAGCGATAGAAGTCGGTGGACAACAGAGATGACTCCTCATAAGAACCTTTTGAAAAACATTTTTATAAACACTTTGTAAAAAATAAGTGGACATATTTGATCACCAGAACACTGGATGCATTTGATTTGGAAACCCTTTTTACGAACTTTTTTATTAGTAAGTATTTTTAGTAAAGAAAACGTGACTTCCAATGACCCCAGGAGTCGCTGACTGGGTTGAAACCTCCACTTCATTAGCTTTGAAGGGTTCAACAGTCTGTTGCATTAAATCCATACAGCTCAGACTATTTGACATCACTTGTAGTTTCAAAATTATTTTCAAAGAATAATTAAACTTGCCGTGAGGAAGCATTCCAAACAATAAGTCAATGTTTACAGTTCATATGTGACTTTCTGTTTTATGGTACTGTAGCGCCCTCTTGTGATAAAAATGTAAAATTACACATGAAACAGGAGGTAAACGTTAGCCTGGCCAGCCAGCCCCACTCCATTTATTGATGGGAAGCAATGTTCTCTGTGTAGAACAGAGCACGAGCCTGGTAGGCCAGGCCAGGTGAATGTGTTTCAGCTTCACTGCGTCTGTTTACTTATTATAAAATGTTTTAATTAATGGCTCTGGCACAAAAATACGCTTCTAATGATAGAGGTAAACAGATTAACTACTTTTCGTTGCAACTTCATCACTATTCACTAGGCTTACATTTACTATGACAAATTAATGAATTAACAAATCCGATTTATTAAAAATCTGGTTCATTAAATCCTGTTTTCTATGTGATGATATAGAAGCTAACTCTTAAGGTTAATTGAAGAATGAAATTAAATTAAATGTATAATGTTCAATAAAAGATACTCGAAATGAAAGTCCAGTCCTAAAAATCTCACAAATGTTCAGTTGCGTTTGTATTTATTTATTACATTCTGCTACCAGTCCAGCGCTAACCTTTCAGCACCGGACAGCGACTCAAGTCACCAATAACTTTGGAGTGTTTGCCACATGTTATAAACATGCATGTTAGGTCACGTGATGCGGAAAACATACATTCAGATATTTGATTCGAGGTGGAGTTGTCTGGTGTCACCCTTGTGTAGCTCCTGCTCTGTCGTCCTGAACAGAGAAAACCAGCAGCAGGACGACCGACGCCGCTTCACATTTCCACTCCTGCAGGAAGAACGCGTTCAGCGCGCAGGAGAACGTTCAGCTGATTCAACTTCGTTGGTTTAACTTTTTGTCCTTTAATCGTGCAAATTCGGGTGAGTTTTTACTGCTTTTTTTGTTATTCTGAGTTTGGAAATTCAGAGCAATGTCTCGCAAGAAGGCAGCTAAAGGCAAAGCCCCGAGCAGCAGCAGCGGCGGCGGCGGCAGCCCGTCTGCAGCCAGCTCCGCGGGAAAAGGCGCGAGGAGCAGCCCGGGCATCGTTCAGATGAACGGAGTGGTCCACCCCAGCAGACCCTCCATCAGCAACAGCAGCGAGTTTTATGACATCGCGTTTAAGGTAATGTACGGCTGCCCATCAGTTAATCACAACGTAACTCATGTAAAATGTGTGTTGAATGAAAAACTTTGAACATCCTGAACATTTAGTTTCAGAAAAGAAAAGCCACATATTTCATTGTTACCTACTTTAATGCACGGGGGGGTGGGGGTGGGGGGGGGGGGTGGGGGGGGGGGGTTTACTCCCGCCACAGCATCAGTGTCCGCATCACTCTACAGCAGCCAAACAAAACCCAGATGATTCCTGCCTTTCGTTTGGCTGCTTTAGTGCAAACCCTCTCATTTATAGTGAGCAAACTATTACCACACTAAAACTGCTACTTCACAGTGACACACGTCCACACTCACACCCACAAAATCTCCCGTGTACTCAGAGTGCTTTGGCTTTGTGCCACCTGGTCTGTTTCTGAAGCAACAGTTTGATGCAAGTGGAAAAGTGTTTCAGTTCCTCTTATAATCAAACTAAATTAGGTCTCAGACCCTGATGATTTATCATCATCATCATCATCATCCTCATCATCAACTTAACATCTGTAGCCAACACTGTTGCAACAGCACCTTCCCCTTTCCTCGCAGAGGCCCTAACTTTAAACTTTTAAAATTGGGTTATAATTGGATTTAAATCTTAACATTTTTGTATTTAATCTTCATTTGCAGCCAGGAGCGTTTCATTCCACTGATGTTGCTCCTGATGTCAGCATTATTAAAAAGTATAATTGGGATTTGGATGGGATTATATGGGATGGACCCATATAATCAACATGCTATCCTCTTTATGAAAATGTTGAGATAGCCTTAAAGTACCTTACAACTGGTAACATGATACATAAGTAAAAGGAAATACTTTATTGATGTGACTATAAAAGTTAACAGCTTGTACTCTGGTCGCACGCGTCAAACACGGTAATATTTGTTCTAAATGACATAGGTGATGTTTTTCACCTTGGTGTGGAATATGTGCAAATGTGTATTTGTGACAAACGATTTACAGTGTTAACTTTAGTGTCACGTGACCGTGAACGTAGATGCTTAAAACTCCCAGCTGCTTAGCAAAAACAAAGTCCTCCAGTCCCTAAACATCCAGACTCTGGAACCGAACAGGAAGGCAACACAAAAACGATGAAAACTTGAATAAATTGTGTGAAAAAAAGATTGCTGAAGTGAACTTCAGGCGTAGCCATGGAAAGTTGCAAACACTGAGCGTTCTAACTGAATAGCGCCAGCTACACGGCTTTAACCAAGCAACTAGCACTCTCTATTTAATTCTGATGTTTTTGTTGTGCTCATAGGCATGAATAAAAAAATTACTGCTCCAACTGGGAGAAGACGAGGCTCTGTCCTTTCCTTCCTTTCATCGATTAACTGGGGCTGCCTGCGGATGCATGGGAACCTTGCTTGCCGTCCTCGCTTGAATTATAGGGGACTGAGTCCACCTGACAATCGTTTGTGAAGCCGGTGAAACCTGGAGGGAAGGGGACTTTGTCAAGCTTTGTCTAAACTTGCCTTCTGCAACACCCCACTGGTGTTTTACTTTTTGAGATCTTTTTACCTACCTAGGCAAGCTTCCATAACACGCCTCCATGCAGTCCAAAACTCCAAAGTGAGGTTTGTGGAGTTTCGATACTGCCTCTCCCTTTAACAACAAATCTGCCTCTCCATCCTCCCAGAGGCAGCCCAAGGGAGCCAAGGCGTGCAGCTGCCTGGCCACCATGCAAGGCCGTAGTTTTGCTGGTCACCTTTGGAGCGCTCTAAGGAAAATGCAGAAACGCTGCAGCTCTTTGAGTTGATGTTGCTTCGCTCAACCACTTTTCTCTTGCTAAAAGCACCAAAAATTCTCCGTTAGCTTTGGGTTAGCATGTAGCTAATATCCTGCGGCTCTCCAACCATTGCAGAGGAGCAAAGCTTTAGCTCACAGCCAGATTCTCAGCTCCACCTCTTTCCCCATTTTTGGATTGTCTGGGCGTGACGAGACATGTGACATGGCCAAGATGGCGGTGATGGGAACCACCCAAATTTGGCTTCATTTAAAGGAATGAGAGAAAAGGGAGGTGCTACGTTTAATACGTATGTCTATGTGTGTGACACTAATCAAGGTGTGACTAGTGAAAATGAACTGATACAAACAGGAAGACCAGAGGGTGGCCTACTTGCAGTATTGTGCATCGGCTCATTGACCCTGTTGTAACTGTGTCCCTTTATTCTCCTTCTGCTGTCTTTTGTCTTCTGTCTGCTTCCTCTATGGACCAGAGAGACACTTCTGATAGGTCCAAACGTCCCCCAGCTAACCCAATAAGTGTAATCTCATAAAACCTTAAACCTAATCACAGCTCAGAATAAAAACATGCACAGCTGTCTGTGGAAAGAAGCAGTGCAATGTATTTTTGTTCTGGTTAAGAACATACTAAGAAAGGACAACATGCCCAGTACTTGTCCAAATTTTAGATAGAAATTTCAAGTGTCAAGTTTTGTCCGCTGCACGTTTTTATTTTTGGCCCCTTTCATTCATAATTGACATTTTGGTTCACTTTTGTGCAGGTGATGCTCGTTGGAGACTCTGGCGTGGGGAAGACCTGTCTTCTGGTCCGTTTCAAAGATGGGGCTTTCCTAGCCGGCAGTTTCATCTCCACTGTGGGAATTGACTTTAGGGTGAGCTTAAATTTATCTACTGAGAAAATAGTCCCAAAATCCCCATAACCATCACATACATGTTCATACATTCAGGTTTGATTCCTCCAAGGGAACTGGGCCAGCCTTCCATAGATTTCCTTTTAGTGCTGTTCTTTGTCTTTACAACCCGGGAGCTTTGGATATTTATCTGTGTCAGAGGGCAGGTATTGATTTCTTAAATTAGTTTGACATGTTTTAGTTTTTTAGCCTCCATGGGTAATAATGATATCTATAATGGACCAGTTTAATGGTCCCACAGGGGCAGGCAGAAAAAAAACTGCCCATCTATTAATGAGTTTAGTCAGGTGTGTTGCCATGAGACATTAGCAGTGATCCCATTAGCACTGTCTGATCAATTTCAAAGCTTTTGTTTGTTGGAGTTTTTATGTGACTCAACCTAAATTCCCTCACCTTTGCATGTTTTTACACTCATGAGCATAACTTTATTGATATAAGTCCTGCATTTTGTGCACTGATTTCTCTGCATGAATCCAAAGTAAATCCCAGTTTCTCTGACTTGAAAAGATTCCTGTTTAGTTCCCGTCAGGGCAGCTGAAAACAGATGCAGGCTCATAAAATAATCCAATCCACAGTTTTAAACTAAAACATGATCAGAGTTTATGTACAACATAGAAGACATCATCCTGTTGAAACTGGCTGCGCAGTGGCGCAGTGGTTAGAGCTGTTGCTTTGCAGCAAGAAGGTCCTGGGTTCGCTTCCCGGCCTGGGATCTTTCTGCATGGAGTTTGCATGTTCTCCCTGTGCATGTGTGGGTTCTCTCCGGGTACTCCGGCTTCCTCCCACAGTCCAAAAACATGACTGTTAGGTTAATTGGTCTGTCTAAATCGTCCTTAGGAGTGAGTGTGTGTGTGCATGATTGTTTGTCCTGTGTGTCTCTGTGTTGCCCTGCGATGGACTGGCTCTCTGTCCAGGGTGTACCCCACCTGATTGCCCGTTGACCGCTGGAGATAGGCACCCCCCCACCACCACCACCACCCTGCGTGGACAAAGCGGGTTCAGAAAATGGATGGATGGATCCTGTTGAAAATGACATTATTCACAGTCCAGTCTGGGAGCCAATCGGCTGCAGAATAATGACCCAGCCTCTGGAGCACTTGGCCAGTATTTCTGAGCTGCTGGTGAAGACAGCAGAAATCTGCATGATAGATGCGAACTATGACGTCCTGTTCACCTTGCATGTACGCTCATTGGTTGAATGTGGATTTTAAAAGAAGTAAATCATCTAACTTGTTTCTCCAACACATGGAGCATGGTAGGTGTTGCTTCTGCACAAACCATAAAATGGTTTAGAGATGGACTTTCCACTGCCACCAGTTCTTTCTGATTTTTACAGAATCATTTTTTTTCACAAACATATATCTAAATATAATTTAGTGAATGGTCTTAATGAAGTTAATGGTCAAATTTTATTTGACCATCAACTTCAGACTTCAGTGACAACAAGTGGAGTGTGGAGGAGCAATGCCTGATGACACACTTGGGATACTTCGTCCCATCTGCTGGCTCAGGAAACACAAGAAAAAGTTTACGCTATGGCAGGAAAATGCATGCTTGCAGACGAAAATGGGTTTAGGGGTATTTGTCATGAGGAAATTGCAATCATCACACTGTAAAAAGCACAGACAATATATGGAAACTTTGATATCAATCAGCTTTAATGTGATGTTAGGCAACAAAGTAGCACAAACAGCCACTGGAGCAATTTATTAATTACTTGCACGCTTGTGGATTACGCAATCAAAGCCCTTCCTCCCTACACACTTAAATCTACCCAGACATGGTAAATGATAAATTGCCTGTATTTCATATCACCTTCTAGAGTCCTGGACCCCCCCAAGGCACTTTACAACACAATCAGTCAGTCACCCATCACATTCTCTGGTGGGGATGAGCTTCACTGTAGCCACAGCACACTGACAGAGGCGAGTCTGCAGTACACAGGCGCCACCGGTCCCTCCGAACACCTTCAACAGGCAAGGTGTCACGACTTCCACCCCACATCACTCCTCCAACTGGGATTCTTCCTCTTAACTACAACTCCCAGCATCCCTTTCACCATCCATGTCAGCACCTTCAGTCTATATACAGAAGTCTCATCCTCTCACCTCTACTCAGTCATCATTTCAACGATGTGACTCACGAGTTCTCTAACCAACCAGCTCTCTGACTATCTAACTTGACTACTCAGCAAGTCTACTTTCTTTTATTCTGGAGTATCCGCTCGGCCCTCCCTCTGGTCCGGTCCCGCAAATACTCCTAAATCAAACCGCGTGCCTGTTTATTCCTCAAGGACACAACGACAGCGACAGACTGAGCGGGGCTCAAACCTGCAACCTTTTGATCATGGGGAGAGCACTTAACTCCTGTGCCACCATCGTCCACAGCGTATATTTGCGTATATCAGGGGACACCATGAGGGCCAGAAGCTCTTCTATAAAACTTCAATTTTCTAAAATACAGTGTGTGTGTGTGTGTGTGTGTGTGTGTGTGTGTGTGTGTGTGTGTGTGTGTGTGTGTGTGTGTGTGTGTGTGTGTGTGTGTACTCTACTTAAAAAGAAATGTTGAATGAGAGCTATGAAGAAGAAAAAAATAAAAATACATCAGCATTTTATAGCGCTTTTTAGGACACTCAAAGACGCTTGCATGCACTCTCACATTCACACACTGCTAGTGATGGTAAGCTACTTTGTAGCCACAGCTGCCCTGGGGCGGTCTGACAGAAGAAGAAGAAAAGAAGAAAAGATCTTTTCTATAGCGCCTCTCAAGATAAAAATCGCGAGGCTGGTGAAGGTTCAGTCATCCAGGTCACGGTAATCCAAAGAGGTTCAAATAAAGGCAACTGGACTTATTTGGTTTCTTGATGTTTCAATTTTCATCTGAGGAACTTTGTCAACTCTGGCTGGAAAATGGGAGAGTCACACTTGTTAACTGTAGCTTGATGAATAGAAACTATCTACCCATACCCCTCCTCCCTTCCCCTGATGAGTCATTTGCCTCTACTGTGTGGGGGTGGTTGTACTGATTAGATGCAGGGTGTGACCTAGACTGAAACTGTTTGAGGATTAGGTTCAGACATGCAATGTATGTACTAGAGTACTGCGTCCTCCTCACCTAGTTAATGTAGGTTTTTTACGTTTGCCACATCTTCTTTTACTCGTCTCTCTACCCATCAATCTTCTTTTTCCAGAATGTGTACTTTGTCATCTTCAACAGTGTGTCCCTTGTCCTGTGGGTGTAAGTGGACTGCAGAGTCTTGACCTGAAGAGGAGGCTCTCCTGTGTTGTGTAGTTGTTTGGTTTGCCATATGTAGCAATCTGGACAGTCCTCGCTGCACTAGACTGCATAAACACTAAACCTCTGTTTGGCTATCTTGTCTTTTGGATGGACCAACTTCAGTCTAACCCCGGCTTTCCACAGGAGCCGTCAGCAGCACGTCATAGCTGCTGATAGGAACCGCTGTGGTCAACAGAACCTTTTCCACAGGAGCCGTCAGCAGCGCGAGTCGGCCGCGTCTCAGGAGCAGCATGTCGCGGCCCTTACGCGCCGGTTCTATTTTCTACGCGCGACGCCTCTGAAACGGGTCAAGTTCGACATTTTTGGGGAAGGAAAGACAGGAAATTGGACGCGGAAACGGAGCGAAGCTACCGAGATTTTCAGAATAAAGAACGTACTGCTTTCCGGTTGCTTTACTTTTAAAAAAGGTTACTAACTGTGCGTCCCCGTGAGGAGTTATCACCTAGCTAGCGGTCTCCTTTGTTTTTCAGGGCCGTATTGGCGATTATAAAACGGACAGAACATAAAACACAAACCTTTTGGAGCCATGTTGTAGTTTTCTCCTGCTTGTTGTTGTTTACTGACGAAGTCACTCGTGTGACTTCGTGCTCTGTCGGTGACAGCTGCTCCCCTGCTGCTTCGCGTCTCGTGGGAAGGGCCAAGCAGCAGCTTACGCGAGCAAGACGTGCTGCTGCAGTAACGTGCTGCTGACGGCTCCCGTGGAAACCCGAGGTAAGGGTGTTGTTGAGTTTAAAGTTCACTGAGAGTTTGTGTCTTGAGGGCTATGAGATTGTAATCATTTTTTATTAACCCTCTGGAGGCAGGCGTTGCAACTTACCTACCCGGTTACTCCACATACGTATTTCATGAGCATTTTTTAACTCAGAAGTACCCCTGAAGGACTTAGTTGTTCGTCCTTTTATCAAAACTTATTTTCAGTCTGAGAGGGTTAAATGCTGATTTCAGTTTGTTTAATTTGATATAAAAAAAAATAGTAAAAGGTGAAGTTTCTTCATTCTTGATTCAGTAATATTTGGTGGCCGGGTTGAAAGGTCTGGCGGATCAGATGTGGCCCGTGAGCCCCCATTTAATGTTCACTGGTGTAGAGAGTTGTTTAGCATCAGTAGGGCCTGAGCTTCATCATGGGTGGGTAGCATGTGTGTACAAGACAGAAATAAAGGCAAAAACACTCACACAAGGGATTTGTGGTCACTTTTTTGATTGTAGTTTTAGTTGTGTTTAAATCACATTAAAACGTTTACATAGTCTTGCAGCCAAGGTTCTGCCATTTCTTTAGAGGTACAGCATGACGATACTTATTGATATTTGGAGGCCCTAAGGCCCAAAGAGTTGGGGGGCCGTGCGAAAAGGTCTGGCGGGCCGAATTTGGCCTGCGAGCCACAACTTGCGGACCACTGGCTTACATGCTTATATTCTAAGCATGTAAGAGCACTATAGAGCAATACTAAACTACAGATAAATAATTAAGAGTTTCTTCTTCTCTACCAACGTTTTCTAATGTAGTGTTGGCTTTACGCTTCTCATTTTAGCTACTCACATAATTTTTGCAAATTGCAAGTTTAAATTTGGAATTTGACTAAATCAGCTGAAATGTTTACAACAAAATACAATTTTCTATTCAATTCAATTCAAAAATACTTTATTAATCCCAGAGGGAAATTGAT